CATAAAAAATAAACATCCCATTTATTTAAATAAAAATATACACACAGTGTACAATGGACATGGCTTACAGACAGCAGTGAAACAAAAATGCTAACTCCTGAAATATAAAAAGAGTTGAACTGCTATAGCTGTGCTTCATTTCTCTGAACAAACAGATGCTATAGACAAAGGGCCTGTTAATCTTACTGATATACAGCCCCACGTGCTCCAGAATGAAAGACAGGAACATTACAAGGAACAGCTACACAAAACAAGTACCAAATAATTTGGGATCTTAGAAATTTTTAAGTCAGACCATTCAAAAACACAAGCGCTGAAAAATTTTAAAGTACTTTGCATGCATGGAAAGAGTACGAAACACCCCTGCCAACAGTCAGAGATCTAAGTAAGAGCAATATGGTCCAGCTCTCGCCACCGCAAACCCCACAGATCCAGGGTGCTCTATTATCAGAGTCAGACTTCTCCCTGTCAGCACGCAAACCCCATGCCTTATGTTTCAGCTCTATGCAATACACTGGCTCACAAAAGTGTGTTCTATTTTATTTATTCTGAAGTAGTTTCATATTTATTCAAGCAAATGCAAGTTTTTAGTCTTGGATCATGAGTATCATGCTGAATTTCATTGTTGTTATATTATTTATTTAGTAGATGCTATGAGAGAATGAGGAAATAAATGAGTGCTGCAGAGTGTAAGCTGAATGCTCTGGCAACACAACAGGCAATGTGCTGCGTGACTAAGGAAAAAAACAATGTTCTTCAGACTGAAGTCTGGGAATTGTCTCCTTTTTTGTGTTTTGCTTTGAAAAAGCATTTGTATGATTTTTTTTTTAACATGCACTGTACAAGGTATGTTCGTGTTCTGAAGAACATCAAATTATTTTAAAGCACTGATTGTAAACATCTCCTTTTAAGCTGTAAATAGGTGAAAAGATGCAAATTCATGTCTCGTGGCACTGCCTGTACAGCACACTTCTTTACAATAAAAAAAAAGCATAAATATAGATATCAATGGTTTCAAGTTTACAACACAGCCAACTGACACAGCATATGGGTAAGACTGCCAACTGATTATATACATTAATTCACGGAAATAATTTCACTGCATAGATTTTAATGCAAGTTTTGTCTTTAATACACTCTTGATGTTCAGTGCATTTTCTGCTTTTTCTAAATGGACCATAGTATTTCCTGGAACTTGTGTTTAAACTAGAAATAGAAATAAGCTTATTTCCTGAAGCTCATAATAGGCATATTATACAGTGGGCCTCAAAATTATATGTTGCCTTTCTTTACACCTAAATTACTAGGGATGAATTAGAACACCATCACATTTTATTTCACTGCCAATAAGTGAATTTTCATCAGGACTGATTGATTTAGACACAGGAAGTGTTTGTTGATTTCCTTATTTCAGTTACATAACGCCAAAATTCAGACAGTACAAAAATTAACATTGCGAAGGACTTCATTAAGGCTCTTTCTCAGTTAATATTTTGTTTCATCTGTCCTCCTAAATTATGTGTTCTTTGTAACACATACATTGCCAGCATTCCACCAAAATACACAGCTTCACATAGGCAAAAATCAGGTAACATAATTAAAAATTTCTGTTTCCTAATTGCTCCATAAAAGACAAAGTATAAACATTAAGAAAAACATTTTAAATACCCCAAAAGACTTCAGAATAAAAAACCTACCTGCTTAGTAATGTCAGGCTTAGGTATGGTTTGTATTATAGCAGTATTACAATCATCTCCAAAAAAAAAAAAAAATCCCTTCAACTTTCCTTTCCTTATGTTTTTAGACATTTTATACTAGCTCTCTGTTTAGACACCGTGCTGTGGTACAAAAACCCCATACAAGCGTGTAAAGCATTGTGCAAATATTCAAAGCTAGAAGCCCTTATTTCAGGATTCTTTGAGACAGATCCTGATGACTTATTTCTACAAACAGTATATTCCATGAGTAAAACAGATTTGGCTTTAGATGCCAAATACATTTATGAATGTTCATATTCTAGCCCCGGAGAACTGCCCTCCCCTCAAAGCAGGTTGTTTTATACCCTACAAAAGTTTTAAGAGAGCAGATACAGATGTGAATCTGCCACCAAGATCAAGATGTTTCCCTTAACACTTTGCAAAACAAATGGTGTAGAGTGCTCGTAAAAGTTCATTTGCTCAATTTTACTCCCCTGATATTCAGAGTGAACTACGAGGATACGTGCACGGCCTCAGGGATGATTTAACTCCTCTGTTAGGCATTCAAACAACGCACAGGGCTTGAAGCAGCTTCTACAAAGAGGAAATGTCCTGCAAGTAACTTAACTACCAGTCTGCAGCAAACCCCCTTTTGCTTCTTTGTAAATAGCAAACCAGAAAAGATGCTCCAATCAGAAAACCGGCTTATAAAAGTGCAAAGTTCAGCCTTACTTCGCACAAAACCCAGCCTACTACTCTGTAATGGCCCAAGCCCAATTAAGTTTCACAACAGCCCACTGGTTTGGTTTGGTTTTTTCCTAATTATCTGTAAAAAATAACAGATTAGATAATTTCACAAGAACATAATGGAGGTGGCTGTTAAAACAAGAAGGACAGTAATCCTATGCCTTTTTTTTTCCCCCATCAAAAAACGTGTCTTCAGTGAGGAAAACATCTTATACATAAAGGCAACGTGATAGTCACAGGGGCAATTTAGAACCCAAGCGGGATTAAAATGCTGAGGCAAGATCTCGAAAGACTATTTTCCTGATAAGAAGGAAATCTATAGAATTTCCTATTTTGAACTTGACAAAACATCCATGGGACTAAAATAAAGAACCATAGGAAGCTATAGTACCCACCAGTGACTACCATCCCCACACAGAGTTTTACAGATTGGTTCAAAATTAGCGTAGGAAGGCCAATGCTCTCTACTGTACATCTGTGGGATTATTTCAGACGTGTATGAGGAAACTAAACGAAACTGTGTGTTCAGGTTTTTTTTAAGCTAATCACAAACACGGCAGAAAGTGAGGACCAGTGTGGCAGGCTGACAGAACAAAATGTGACTTTTCTAGGAAGATTTATGTTCCATAAATCCATGGAAAAGTTTTGTACAGATCAGCTGTGTTTGTTCAAGACCCAAACACAAATGTATGCACACGTCCGCCCACCTAACGAGTAGCACCCACTGGTACATGACAGGAAAAAAAAATAAATCACATCATTACATTCTCATCTGCTTCATCTTATCTATGATGCAATGCCAATTCTTCTGACATCTCCTGTTGAAGTAATACATTCCAGAAGAACAAAGAAGTCATTCATGATCACACATTAGATAAATAGAAATAAACAAAAAAACGCACCAAAACACTATTTAAATTACCTACTTTACCTCAAAAAAAGTTCCAATTAGTTAGGTAAATATATTGTATAGGTGAATTGCTGGCTTCACTGAAGTCAATGAATACTGGAATGAGGATCTCTTCCTGATGTTCTCCTAACAAGCCCCAAAGCCTGATCTTGCAAATCTAGAAGTTGAGAGTAATTTTATTCCCATGATAGATCGTTTCCATCTCATATCCAATTAGAGTTTGCCAAATCAGGCTCCTAAATATGTATTTCTACTAGTATAGTTACAGATTTACAAAAGTTACAATATAGTTAGATATTTATATCCAGCAATGGGCATTAAGGGATTAAAAAGAACAAATCTTAACTCACGATGCATCAAGATTTCTTTGACTACCATAGGAGCAAGCAAACGTTAACTTCTTTATCCATGGCAATTACAACTTCTTACAGATGCTCAAATTCCCCATGCAGTTTTATTAGGATAAAATTCTCATGCTTCTGCTCTAGGTATTTTTCTCAAAATGAATGCATTACAAAAAGGTCAGTAGCCAGTGCGTACTTCTCAGTGGTATTTCTCTCTGGAAGGCAGAAGGCAGCAATAAATAGATACAACTAGAAACACAACTGATGTTTGCAAGCCAGATTTCAGGACTAACACAAGCTGGCGGAAGCATTAACATTCATTTTTAAAGCTGATAGTTCTTCATCCTAGAGTGGCTACATGCAGCTTTACAAACTTGATATAAATCAGCTGCAGGAGCTAACTAGTCCTAATACAGCAGGTTACTCATCATTATAACATTAATGTTAGGCTCTGTAAAATCATAAATGTTTTTATAGCCTAAAGATACACTAACTCCTGTATATACAACTCATTTCCTCTACCACTAAGGAAAATGTAGTTTTAAGGGCTTACAGTAAATGGGAACATGACAGGTCAAATTCAGGTCACCTTGAAGAATTAATCCCTGATTTCAATGTGATTTATGTGAAAGTGAAATTAGTGGTATACGGCTGTGGTACAGAAAGCCAAGAATGATATACCCAAATGAACTGCAAGGAATCAGAATGGAATTACTGAAATTACAGGCTGTAATTACTAAAAATGTATTATGAAGTTATCATGCTTATGTAAAGAGGCTAAATGTAATTACCAAAATTATATTTAGCCCAGGCATTAGCATCTTCCATAAACATTTATGTGAAGGATTTAATCATTAGTGATCAAGACCTTGGTGCTACGCTGGTTCCAGAAAACACTATTTCCAGCAGTAAGAGACCTCTTAAATCAAATCTCATGTTTTGGTTTGGAGTCAGAATGCCACCTTCCAGATTGCTAACCTCAGTTCTTATAGCAACCTACATTTCCCTTTTTAATCTTCAATCAAACAACTCAAAAACCTAATTCCAGCTGGTTTATGAGTCATACTAAGATTCACCTGCACAAAAGAAAGTTGAATATATTTGGTTTTGAGAATATACAGTCCATTACTTTTTATTGGTATTCTATAAAAACTAACTGGAGTTATTCTAATGTAACATGATAAAACCTGATAAAAATAACACCTCAACTGGTTACACATTCCCAATTAATATGTCATAAACAGCGATTTTTATCTTCACTAATTAGCGTGATGTATGTTCCTGATTACACTTTTGTTAAACTTAGGTGTCAGCTTTTCCATATGTCCCTTCTGGAGGTCTGTAGTACTTTGGGAAAGCCATCAGCTGTATCATGTTGAATGCATACTTTCTGCATTTGACATTCTTCAGTACATTCTCTATGCGGCATCCTTCTCTAGTGAAAGGGGGAAAAAGTACAACTTCATGAAACACAGAATAAATAAATATGCTTTATTTGTTCATTGCAGAGTTTCAGCAACAGTTGAAGTAAAAATAACAAAGATTCAACTCTACATTTTTGTTTTCCACAAGTGATGATACATCTTACAGAATTAAATCCAAGGCCAGGCTCAGTACAGTTATTGCCCTCAGAAATAGGTGAGAAGATTTACCCTTCCCCTCCCCCTCCCCCCCAGTATATTTGCCCTTGAGGTCTAAAGTTTAGTAAAAAAAATTAAATACTTTAATGATACAATTTTTTCTAATTCCAGAAATATATTTGCCTTTTAAACCTTCTTGTATTTTTTTTTTCAAATTGTTTGCTATTTATGTGAGAGTACACGTTGCCCTAAAAATGTGTATTCTAGGAATAAGGCGATTCATTAAGTCTGGCCCTAGAGATTTGTGAAGGAAAGTTTCATCTCTGCTTCATTTCCTGTCTGTTCAGCTTTGCAATGAAAAAAAAGAAAGAGAGAATGGCTTTTCAAACAGCCCAATCCAACTCTCTGCTTTATAAAGGAAGGATGTTTGTTCACATACAGTACAAAAGTCACAAGTGCCAAAGTGGTGCATCAAGACATAAAGAGGACTTTGTTAAAAAGAATATAAAAGTGTCTGGAAAGCAAAAGCAACTAAAGCAACAATTACAAACAGGTTAACCTCGTTACAAAACAGAACTTACTCTACTCCATTTAGTTACTCGACAGAAAAGGGTTAGTTGTAGCAAAGTAATCAGCATTTGTTAAACAAAAAAGATCCCATCAGCTAGTAACAGTGAAAATAACACAATGAAAGTTACTTAACTCACAAACTGCCCCAGTAGTAGTTGTCTAGGGGTTAGTTTGTGTTGTGCAAATTAGTTTTTAATTTTTTTTTTCCTTTTTTGTCAGACTAATTACTCTGGAAAGAGGGATTCAAGCATTCAGGATTCCACACCTTGTATACAGTGACAGCGTTGTAAGTGGGCTTTCTTTGAGCTAATTACAGTGGGAAAGCTTTACCATGAACAGAAAGAGCAAATCAATTCACTCAATGCATAGTATACTTCTTAGAGTTCAGAAAAAAAATAACAAGAACACAGTACATTGCAGACATTTGTATCTTAAAGACGAATCCTTAGGGTCTGAGGCTGTAGAAATATTACAGCATAATTCCTTTTTCTAAAGTTAGTTTGTTGCGGTTTGTAGAAAAGAAAGGAACACGAGTGAAGTTTATTGATATTTGGCTAATAGCAAAGCAAGACTTAAAATAAGCCACACAACCAGCAAGTGTGAGCTGACAAGCAGCAAGGCGACAGGATAGAAGTGTCGAGAAGTTGGCTTGTTATCTGTTAGACAGCCTGTTTCGGGATCATCCGATTCATTCAGTGCTCCCTGGGTTTGTCTGCTGTTAAACAGGGGAAGTTAGGAACAAATAGAACAGCATTTAAACAGCAAAGAAAGCCAACATGTAGGTATTCTGACAAGGTGAAACTATGTAAGATGAAATCAATTTATGCTAAGCACTTCCAATGTATTTCTTGTGTTCTACAGCTGACATGGGAAGCACGATGACTAGGTGGCTAATATGCTACTAAGCCTGGAGGCGCCTCGGAGCAGTATTCACAAGTTAACATTAAATGAGATGAACGCTATTACCACTCAAATGAACAAACACACCCAACAGGAATGAAATAAGGAAGTTAAAATAAATGTTAAGGAAGCAAAGAAAAAAGATCACGAATATGTCACAACGCAACACTGACAAAATAGTGTCTCCGTGGTGTTTCACGGGCTTCTCAGTCCTGTTTCACTATAGGTTAGGAAATATATAGGCAGAAATAGAAAGGGCACATGCTCTTTTTTGAAAGGATTAACTATTCTAAATAGTTTTAAATTATGGTAAATTGACTCCTTCAAAAATTCATCTGTGCAGGTGATTCATTTTTGAAGTCAACAGCAGTTCTTTTTATTGAAAGTCTCACACCTACATTCCTGTAAGAAAATTACCTTGTACCTTGTCCAGTCAACTCAGCTAGGTACTAACCTGCTGACAACAAAGTTCTACTGAATCACCCTATGTTGCGCAGTCTCCTTCCTACCAGGGCAGCAGGGACATTTTCAAGCCACTGCCAATCTTCTCTACTGCAGTCTTGGTAGCTTCTCTACAAGTGGAATTATGCATACTTCAACAATACCTCTTCAATCCCTCTGAACTTAACTTTATTTGCATACCCTCACGAGTCCTGTTTATGGACTCCTTCGGGCAGTAAGGACTGATAAGATTTTTTTATTTTTCTATTTACTATGAATATTCTGGGATGAAAAGATAACTTGACATTTTTTTCTGTGAATCTAGGAATATCCAAAAATATTGGATGACAACACAGTGCTTTTTCAGAAGCACATGTCCCAGGTATGCTGTTTTTTCAAGAAAGAAAATGCTGGCAGAACATAAAGAGGCTGTAGGATAGTAAAGGTATTATCACACAGCCCCAGGTAAAGAAAGCAGCACTAACTTCGTCTTACGGAAAGCCTGCCTTTCTGACTTGCGTGTTAGAAGGCAATGTTGAGTTTCTTGAGCCTGGAGAGCAAGAGAGGGGCAAGAACTGCATTTACAGGTGGGATCCTAGGAAAGGAGCTGATGAAAACCATTCCTTGCACAATTTTCCTTTTAAAGAAGCCTTCCATAAGTAGTTCTTAATTTCTTTCTTCGCTTTGAACATTCAGTCTCTATGTTACACTAATAAAGAGGACAACCCATATTGTTTTAAATAGCAAAATAAAAGATTAAAAATAAAATCCCTAATATTTGAATCTAGGTCAAAGCAATTACTGGTGTCAATGTGTCTGCTGCTTTTGGTCTACAGTTTTCAAGTGTCCATGGGTAGAACTTGGACAGAACTCAAACAGTATTTCAGACAAAATCCTTTCAGAAACTGTCAAGAAACGAAGCTAACTTTGTCAACACCATGACTTACACCGAAATAAATCATCCTGTGCTCTGTAACAGACCACTCCAGTTAATGCCTTTGTCCTAGGGTCCACTCCCAGAACTTCCTTCCTTTTCTGCTCAGAGTGATAACATTACCATTCGTGATAATTTGTGAGGACTATCTGTATTGCCCTTTCCTAATTTGCTCCTTTATCGAGTGTTTCTACACACTTTTAAAAACACGCTGCTTGCTGTTTTTCCTTTTCCTTTCTTAATCTCTACAGGTCCCACACATCTGCCTCTTTGACCCTTTTGTGCTGTCCCCTCACCTCTTTCCTGCTCCTCGAGGTGAGCCTGCTGGTTTCAGCTTACCCCCATGATGCCCACAGCCAGGAGCTCTAGCTCAACCCTCCTAGTCCCATCCACGCCTTCCCAGTCACAGAGACCAGGTGCTTTTGGACTGTCCTTTTGGGTGCCTTCCAGCATGGACTTCATGTGTGTGCCCCTGGCAGACTGGATGCAGAGACCAAATTCTTTTTTCTCTGAAAAGATCCATCAAGGTAGCAATGAAGTTCAGCCTTCAGTAAGTTTGCACAGCTGCTGCATTTGCCACCGTCAGGTGCTTTGTTCTCGAGAGCCTCAGCTTTGCACGCCAGTAGTTCACTCTACGCAGGCTGAGTTACAAGCCTGCAGGTTGGCCCTACAGGGATGAACCCTCCCACTTCTGTGTTTTGCTCCACATCTCCTTGACAGTGTGACTGTCTTTTATCTATGTTGCTACAAGTCCCATTAGCATCGCTGAGATTTATGCAGATGTAATGATGGAAAAGCAGTTAAGAGACATTTGTTCTACCTTTTTTTTTTTTTCTCCAGTAGAAAAGCCTACAGTTCACTTGTTCTTTGATATGCTGAAAAGAATGATCAGTGTCTTTCAACATAAAAAGTCCTATCTTCCCCCTGGAAAACCACAGCGAACAGCTGATGCACAGGGAATTCTGTTCCACAAATCAGTCACATCATTCTGTGCATGAGTCAGTAAGACATCCTCAAAACAGAGCAACAGGATCCAACTCCATTATTACGCCCCTAAGAACAGGCTGAACGGAATACCTAAACACGCTTTTAATTTAAGAGGAATATTTGATCACGGTCAGACGCCTCGCTAAGCTCTGCTAACACTTTTCAAAGCACTGCACTGACAATGTCTTCTAACACATCTTTAAGTGTTCTCTGCAGTGACTAATGTATCTAGTTAAACAAAGAGAGGCCCTACACCCAGCTGTCACACTGCTTCCCCTGGCTCATCAAAACCTGTACAAGTTTTACCGCAAACAGCATGAATCCAGCTGGTGCCAGGTCAGCTGGATTTATTTGGCCACTGACTGACACTCTGCACAACCAGGACAGACCCATATCTGACCCTCTTACGGTGTGAAGCTATAGCCGTAGTTTGGGATGTTCTCTCCATCACAAACCACACTCTAACACCTCTGAACTCACACCAAACGGAAGGAAGACGACTTCCAAAGAATCCAGCAAGTTTTTATTTCGTGCATGAACACAGTTTCAAGAGGAATAGTGAAAGCTTCTAAATCCATAACATCTGGGGTAACGAACACCCTTCTAACCTATAGTACTGTTTTTATTCATTTACTTTCAAATTGTTCATTTGAAGCTTACAACATCGCACAAATACATCATAACAGCCAAGGGTGCTGTAAGTTTAACGACCATATAACCATTTCAGTCTGCCTTCTAACTCGCTTGGTGTTTTATCATCTTAAACTCCTATTGGGATAATGCTGCAAGCCCATCAAATGAGACAAAGGCAAAACAGCAGGTATTTTCTGTTCTTCTTAAATTCAGATGATAAATTGTTTGAACCTCTAAGCAGTGGAGCGGAGACAATGAAAATGGTGTGAGAGAGAAAGAAGCCTCTCAAGAGTCCTTATAAAGTCAAGCACACATATGAGGGCACGCACGGGCTTTTGATTACCAGTCACACTGACGCCTCTGTGCAAGGTTTTTGGAGGAGAAGCAATT